GAGGCATCTGATGACGCATCTCGGCCTAAGTCTACCAGGGTGACGACCCCAGGCACTTCGGGCATTTTAGTGTCTTAATCAGTGCTCCGTCGGTCTTTACTGGGCATCCGATCTAGAGCATGATCCGGTCGAGGCACGGCTTTTCGCGCCATGAGCAGCGTTTCACCATTACACAGAAATGCTGGAGTACACTCAAAAGCCCCTAGGACGAGAACGTCCCAAAGGCATCGTAAGTTGCTTCGTGCAGATCAGATTTCGGCAACGCTTGGGGCGCTTGAGAGTACTTTCAGACTGGCCTCCAAATCAGGGATTCGACCGATACGCCTGATACTTTGTAGAAAAAAATGCCCATATCTGATCCCGATTCCCTCCCCTCTTAATGCGGCCGATTATTCTATACCAATAAATTATTTTTCTAAAGCCTCAAGATATTCTTTTTTTCACTCTATACATTGGCATTTTGTAGAGATTTAATTATTATCTAACTAAGACTCTGACATGAACTTATTTTAGATTCGAATTATGATATTTCAATATTTGAATTAGAGTAGGATCATTTCTTTGGGGATAAATTTTGAAATGCTAAGAAAATAATATAAAATATTTTGTTAATTTTAAATGAATTCATAAATAGAAATAAAAAGAATAGAAAAATTATATTTATTCTGGTGCTAAGTATAAAGAAGGTGGAAATAAAATGGATTTTTTTTTATACAGAGCTTTTATTTTAAAAAGATAGCGATATATTCGTATTAGATGGCCTTTTCTGATAAGGAATAAGATAGTAGTGATAGAGATGGAATGGAATTCTATAAATAAATATATAATAAAATCGAAGATGAATATATTAATTGATTATTTCCATGCTTAGACCTATATTGGAATTTAGTTCTGGGAAGATTTATATTTTCTTAGCCTTTATATTCTAATATTTATTTGGTATTGATATTTAGAATCTAAAATTCTGAGTTTAATAATAAATTCTTGAAACATTTGGGAAAAATTTATGAAAATTCAATATGAAGAAAATTTTGATATTCGCTATAAGAATTATAAGATAATAATTTTCTTATGATTAATTAAAGCATGAGATAATACGGCGGATATATTTACTCGATATCTGTACTGGCAAAGAAGATTTATTAATAGCGGGCGTATTGAATTAAAAAGAAATCTTATAATACCAAAATAACAAGATTCATTTTTAGCTCGTGGCATCTTTCAGGAATACGGGGGTGAGGATATTCGAATTTTGAAAAAAATTGATCCCTACCAATTTTGAAGTTAATTGATCTTCGCCGATATTTTCGATTCGAATTTTTTTTAATATGAGCTCCATAAATATGAATGAATATATATAATTATTCAAATATAATCAAATCTTATGAGATATCGAAAATTTCTATTTACTATTATATATAAATAAGAATAATATTGCCTAATAGATTAAGAATATTTAAATCAATATCTCCGCCTTAACTGACGACTGTATTATTTATTAATCATTTGATTTATTTATTTATGCCATCTAATTTCGGAGATGAAATAATCGGATTATGTCCAGTGCGTATTAGGATCTGAAGATTCTGAGCATCATGAAATATTTGGAGCTATCTCGTAAAATTTCAATAATAAGAATTTCCTTTAGATCAAATATTTTTTTTAAAGATCTCCATGAAAATAATAGCTCTCATATAATTAAATAAAATGAAGCAGATCTCATAAAAAATCTAATGATTCTATTCGATATTATTTTCGATATCAAATCTTATATTATTTTATTAATAAGATTCATCTTGAAATTCAAGATTTATATCAAGAATTCTATATAAATAATGATTCTCATATAGCTGATTGAAATATAGTCAAATCCTATGAGATATCAGATATTTCTATTCGATCTTATATTTGATAGAATTCATATATGAATATTAATTAAGAAAATAAGAATATTTAGATCAATATCTCCGTCTTGCCTATCGCTTATATCATATATTGATTATCTGATCTATCTATCTATCTGCCTATAAGAATAGTCAGATTATATCAAGAGCTTAGAATCGAAGATGCTGAATTTATCTATATATTCGTGAAATATTTCGTGATATCTTTTGACATTATAATAATAAGAATTATTTTCAAATCAAGAATTCATTATAAGATTCTCTATAAAGATGATAGCTCTTTTATTATTGATTAAAAAGCAATCAGATCCCATGAGATGACGAAGATATCTATTCGATGAGATTGATTCTGTCAGAGAAATCAAATCAATATTGGAAATAGACGAAATAATATATAGAATAAGATAGAAATTTTATAATATTTCAATAATAAGATTCAATTTGAGGTCAAATAATTGCTCCAAGAATTCTATAAATATGACGATCTTTATATAATGGATTGAGGAATAATCAAATCTCATAAGATAATGAATATATCTTGATGATATTATTTTTTATAAAAATAATATGCCGATCTTCTTCTTATTCTTATATAGAGAATCATATAGAGATTTATATCTTCAGAAATATGATATTGGAATTCAAAATATTTATACATTGGGAATATATTCTATTCAAGCTATCAAAATAGTCGATATTTCAAGATCACGCGATTTCCTTCAAAGAATTAGAATTCATATAATTCTAATTTCGAGAGAGAAATCTTCAAAAGAGAATTTCAATAAGAAATATATCAAAGTCCAAATTATAAAGACGGATATATATAGAATCATAAATATAAATACCTCCGATCTATTGTATTAGAAAGAATTATTTGATTGAATTTATTCATATCTGAATTTTCGGAATATAAGAATCAGATATTAGAATGGACCCGCTGCTTCCAAGAGCGAGGCAAGTTGAATTCTAATTTCAAGATCGTGATTTTTCGAATCATAGTTTATATCTATGCATAAATAAAAAATCTATTTGAATTTCTCGATATATGAATATGATTTGTCAAAATGATTTATATATAATCATGATTCTCGATTCTCCATGAAAGCAGAGAAGCAATTATCCTCCATCTTCGGAGAAATCAATGAGCAATCGAGAGCATAGATATATAATTTGATATATATATAAAAAATAGATTCGGTCCCGTTCTATGATCTCATATATAAAGCAAATAGATTTATTTGAGTAGTGGTTCTCTATTTTATGGCTTATCATAGAAATAATCGATCTTATAGAATCTATTAGATGAATAGAATTTTCTTATTTCTTATGGAGTTCATAATTATGAATATAGAATTACAGAAGGAGCTTTATATCGATTCTAATCATTAAATATATTTTTATATAGATAAAAATAATTCTAGATTTTTATATTTGAAATTTTTTCTGCATTTTTTTAATTTATTAAATTTCTTAATTCGACTAATCCCTAAATCTTTAAGATAAATAAATATTTAATTCTAGAATTATTTTTATATAATTCTAAATATATCAATAAATTTTTTTAAGCGATTAAAAAATAAATAATAAATGAAAGACTAAATATAATTAGATAGGAATATATAAATAAATATGAATAGATATCATATAAATAGCCGCATAAACGATATCCAAATGAGTTGCGACCAGATTAAAATAGATTGCAATAAAATTAGACAGACACACACCCAGAGAGACGCGCAGAGAGACGCGCAGAGAGACGCACAGAGAGACGCACAAACAGACACCTAACAGACACACACACACACACGCACCCACACTCAGAGACGCACTCACACACACACACAGATACACACGCGCACACACGAACAGACACACAGAGACACACAGAGAGACACCTGCATTCAGAAAGCACAGCACTGGAGCTCGTGGTACTAAACCTTCGGAAATTTTGCTACCACGAGCATGTCCAAAAAAAATCTGAAATTTTGCTACCGTGAGCATGCCTGTCAAAACTTTCGGAAATTTTATGAACGGTAGCATGTCTTCCTAAATCTACCCAAATTTCTCATATTTTAATACCGCGAGATTTCCTAAAGCTACGAAAGCTTCTGAAATTTTAGTGCCGGGAGAGAAGGGTTTGCGGTACTAAAATTTCCGAAATTTAGTACCGCGAGAGACACGCAAGAGGTTTTTAAGAGGAAACGCATCAAAGGGCGAGATTACAGGGGGTCAGGGGCGCACACGGAATCACGGGCGCAAGCAGCACGACACCGTTTTGTTAGAGACGTTTTTATCATGAACCTTTATAAGAACTCTGAGTAATGAATTCAATCTCATGTTTTAATCTTTCTCGTAAGATAACTTTATCTATCGGTTTGTTAATCTTATCAATATAAATAATATCTTACGGATACCTTATTTCAACAGAACTCGCTCTTAATAATATCGCCATGATAACGATCCATATTTCGATATAGTAATATCTAATATTCTTACAACATTAGTGAACTGCTCTATGAAGGTAGAAAAAAAAGGAAAATGTTGAACACAAACGGCTGTAATCGAACCCTGCGGTCTCGAACCTCATGCTGGCAAAGTTAATGCGATCAAACCTAAGTCCAACCACTCAACCCTGCAATCCAAACAAAGAACCAACGACTCGGCCATTACCAAACACACCTTTTCCGGGCACGGGTCCGAAAGCCTTCATCCTATCAAGACTTAAGACCAAGATTTTATCGTGGGCTCTACAATCAACTTATACATAATATGTAACCCTCGACATATAACATTTAATTTATAATCATACGGGCCCGTACTGCTTTACAGGGCCGCCGTACGGCCGCGCGGGGAATACGAGACTTCCGACGCATATCATAATCTTCAACCATATGGGCCTCTACGGCATTATTGGCTCGCCGTACGCCCGCATGGGGAGGTCCCCGAGACATAACGTATAACCTCCCGATGTAGAATATGGCAGCATACAACATCCTCTATATCTGAAGATCATCTAAATCTAACTATTCCGTTGGGAAGACATCGGTTTTTCGCCGGCAGGGACGGGTTTGAGGCTCCTCAGTCTGCCGCTGATTTCTAGTCGTCGTCACTGTAGCTGCTGTCCTGTGCATGACAAAACGCTGACTTAGCCATGCAGCCCCTACAGAACCTGCCACTTCACCTTGCTCCCGATTTCAGCCGAAGCCCATCAATTCATCAAGCATTGCAGGCGCCTCGTCGGCACGAGCTTTGGGCTTCGCCTTCGCTTTCATCTTGAACTTTGCTTTCGCCTTAGCCTCCCAGTAGCGGGGCGGGCCTACTTCCGGGAACTCTTGCGACAGGGGGGGTAAGGAGCTTAGACTTTGGGCTTTGGGGAAGCTTCAGTGCAGTGCAGTCGAACTTGAGATTCATGAGTGAAAACAGAATATGGGTTCCAGTAGCGGCAACATAGAGTCCTTGCAGCATTGAAACAGGCATCAGGATCTTACACTGTTTAGGTTGAGATCAAGAGTTTCTGCCGCCACCCTTGGAAAGTGGCAGGCACCATGCCGGTTGGTCAGCAGCTTTTCTGCTTATGGCAGAGGCAGCGTGCGGCGGCGCAGTCTAGCACTGATGCCTTGGCAGCTTCTGCTTCCTTCGCGGCCTTTGCGCGGGCTTTGGCAATCCGCTCGTACACCTGGGGCAGATAGCCGCTAGCCGCACTCTGATCACGATGTGCCTTAGGTTGAAGGCTCGACGCACAGGGCCACGTCTTCGGAGCTTCTAGACAAAGAAGTACATACCGGCATTATGATTAGAGGGCTCTAGACCAGTTTGACAGGATCCATGGCAGAAGCCACGTGAAGCTAGGTCCTGGAAGCCAACTAGCCCCCAACATTTACACTGCAAGGTTCTCTCAGATCCGTTTTTCACGGCGACCCTTCTCTCACATCGGAACACGTCATGGTGACTTGCAAAGACACTGACACTCACTCAGGATCGCCCTGCCCCAAGCCCTAAACTGCAAGCCCTCAACTCTAAACCGTCCCCCGGCCTGGTACAAGCACCCTCCGACGATGCCAATCGGTATCCCAACTTGGTGTGGGAAGGCAAGCTAACCCTGATTCTCGTCAACGTGTATCCCTAGAGGTGGGATGTCCATCAAATGTTGTCCCGTGTTCCAAGGAGTTCTCCCGCTCCGAAGTTTGTTTTGCCAAGAGTCTAGTTTACTGCAAACGAAATCAACTACAAATGAATGAAACAAGAGCATGACTTGATTAACGCCTGTTGAACTGAATGGAGCCTTGTTTCGTGCTTCTGGGTTCAGTAGTTCGTGTTTGTGTGCTGACCTCGAACACAGCATGCAGTCCAAACTCTTGAAGCAATTCAAGTCTTGACCCGTAACTTCGCAGGAGCAAAATCAGCGAGCCCAGCAGCTACGCTTTCGGCTCGACTTGCATTCCAGTGCCTCAAGCCTCAAGAGTAGTGGTTGTCTTTTCTATTCCTGCTAACGTGCCTCCTAACCTGCCGTGGCAAGCGTTTGGCTGTTTGTGGTCGATCCATACGGACCACACCGCTCGTTGTTCGCTGCGGGCTTGGAAACGTCCGTGTCAGGCACTTTGGGTCTCCAGTAAGACCACCAGAGGGCCGCGCGCACGAAGATGGCTGAGAGCCTCAGTCAGGCGAAGGAGCCCCAAGCCCCTAAAGCCTAAACCCTAATCTCGAAACCCTCAACCCGAAATCCTAATCCCCACAATTTTAAAGGCTACGTAAGTGTGCCATGCCAGCTCAGTATGTTGGTTCACGGCGATAACATGTCACAAGAATAGAAAATCTCGAATCTTTGCTCATCATAAACAACTGAATCTGGGCTAGGTCGGCTGGGCCGCAGGTGAGCTGGGCTGGCCCAAACCTATAATTTGCACTTAGGGGTGCTTTTGCATTTAGGGACGCTTTTACACTTGGGGGCGATTTGCACTTCGGGGCAACTTGCACTTAGGGACGATTTGAACTTAGGCGCGATTTGCACTTAGGGGCGATTTGCACTTAGGGGTGATTTGTATTTAAGGGCGTTTTACACTTAGGGGTGACCCCATAGGGAAAAACTTGCTTGCAGGAGCTTCAAAGCAGACTAGAGCACAGGAAGAGCCCAGGAAGAGCCCCTGGAAAAGCCCAGGAAGAGCCCAAATAGGGGCGCCAGTGTTTTGGGATTAGGGGCACCAATGTTTTCGGATGAGGTGCGCCAGTGCTTTGGGATTAGAGGCGCCAATGTTTTTTTGGGATTAGGGGCGCCAATGTTTTGGGATTAGAAGCACCAGTGTTTTGGGATGAGGGCGCCAGTTGTTTTGGGATTAGGGGCGCCAATGGTTGGGTATTAGGGGCGCCAGAATTTCGGAATTAAGGGAGCTGGAACCATGAATTCCAGACAACCTCGGAAAATCTTTAAGGCGTACGGCTGACCCCAGAGGGAAAACCATTGCTTCAAAGAGCTTCAAGCGGATTTGGTCAAGGCAGCCAGCTACGCTGGCGAGCCCGAATCCCTCAAACCCTAAACCCTAATCCCGAAA